AGATTCAAAACAACATTTATGTCATTCCGAAACATTCCCCATTTCGCATGATTTCGCATGTTTCTCGAATCGAATTTGCACATCCCCTCAACTTATGTTGAAATAAGTATATGTAAATTGCATACACAGCACTTAATTCACCTGTATCTGTATGTCCAACCCCTGCAAATATTCCCTCCAAATAACAGTAATACCGAGTCAAAAATTGCAATTGAATACCTAAGGAAAACAGAGTTCACCTTCACTTTCTTGTAAAAAAAAGGCAACCGGGTAAGGAATATTAGCTTCCTTTACATTAACAGATTTGGAATAAAGCATGACTTGCCCATCCTCCATAGTTTTCAAAGCTACAGATCTCTCCTTGTTACAGATCTCTCCTTTTTCACAACGGGGTTCACAACGGGTCAGATTCCAGTAAAAGGTCAGCATCCTTAAGCACAAAATGAAAATGCCAATCCGAAAATAGCTTCCCACATGGGCAGGTTTCCCTTTACACACTCAATATTGAGCATATGGCCTAAACATTCCTCAGCACAACCCAAACTGCCATCTGGAAGCGGCTTACAATGGCAAGCCCAATTTACACCTCTCCATCGCATACACCTCTCCATCGCAATATGCATCCCAATTATAATATATTGAACAACACCAATTTTGATAACAGGGTAAAATTTATTCAAAGTTTAAGATTCGAAATGTCTAAGTTTAGGAAACAGAAATGAAGCATTTTCAGTGACAGGTGTATCAAGTTTTCCCCATGTACATGTTTTTCATAGAGGATCCAAAGTTTTGCAAGCATCAACCTTTTAGATTTTCACAAGCAAAAAAATACCAAAATAACTTCCAGGTTCCTCTAAAAGACCACTGTATTTTCAGATTTTTTTTTTTTAAAAAGAACATCATGGTAAGCATCTTGAACCATTCAAATGGCGAGCCGATAAATCACATCTCAGACGATAAGAAAAGAAGGTTCCTCTTAATTAAATCAAGAGCAAATGAACACCTCTTATTGCATGAGGTACTTCCCAAATAAATTAAAGAAGAAAGCGGTAAGATTCTTACTTCCAAATGCTGAAGAACAGAGAAGGAGAGAAAGAGGGCTTCAAACCTATCAGAAGGCGTGAGCGAGGAATGGTAGCGTCGAGAGCTAGGGTTTTGGTGGTGAGCAGGTCGAGCGAGAAGGTAAGGATTTCAGTCTTTGGTCGCGAGGGAGAGTGAGGGTTTCGAGCGAAAGGGGATCGTGAATCGAACGCCTGTTCGGTCGCGCAAGGAAGAGAGGAGATCGAAGCCAGAGAGAGCGGGAGCGAGCGGGGATGATCCAATGAATCTCTCTGTCGCAGAAGATATCAGTTCAATTAGTATAGTCGAGGACTCAAGGAGCCGTTACGTGACAACATTGGCAGAGAAATAAATAATTTTCTTTGGTGTATGTGGCTCAATTGGAAAATAATATTACTAGATTATTTTCAATTAATACGAGCTTTAAATATTCTGTTTGAATTTTGAAAATTAAATTTTGAAATTATGTGAGCTGGTGATTAGCCAGAATCAAGCCCGAGTCGAACTTGGGTTGAACCCGAGCCCACGTCCTGCTTAGGGCTGTCAAAACGGCTCATTGTTCGCAAACAGCTCGTGTTCGGATCGTTATCTTCATTCGATAAGTTAACGAGCCGAACACAAACAAAGTTGTGTTCGTTCATGTTCGGCTCGTTTTGGCTCGAAATACTACTCATCAAGTTTACAAATACATATATATATATAT